GAAATATTCTATAATAAAGAACAATTTGAGAATGTCAATCATGCTTTATAAAAATTATAAGGAAAATTGTGACTCAATTTTAAAAAGAAAACAATGCTTATTGAAATCTCCCTTCAAAATATTTAGAATTAGGGTGATTTGTAATTGAGATATCTTAATTGCTTCCAACAAGCACATTAAAGAAGGTCAAATGGCAATAATCATCATCCCATAGTTAACAAAAAACATCAATCAATTTCATTACAAAACAAAGGTAAAATATTGGTAGAATTTACTATACATTATGTTTCACATAGTTTGATTGATTTCACTCTCAATTCAAACGAAAAATTGTATTATATGAAGTGCATCTTACAATATGACTTAAAGGTTGATTTGATTAAAATAAAATATGATTTAATTGATACATAAAAAATTAATTTAAATTTGTACAAGCACTACATAGTTCAACTAGCATCATAAAATTTGATCTATTAATAAGTGAAATTAATTCAATAGATGTTTAATTGATTCAATTTTTTTCTTACTGAACTATATTAAAGTATCAAATCAATAATTTTTTTTTAATCTATCGATCAATTAAGATTAGAATGAGATTACTTAACTAATTAAGTTGAGAAAACTATTAATCAAAGCTGTTATCAAGCAAAATTATAATATACGATTCAATATTTTATGGTATGCTATGCTAAGAAAATTCTAAGATTTATTTTACTTCGTATTAATTAAATTTTAATTTTATAGCTTAAATTTATCAAGAATCCAAATTTAAAACTATTATGATTAAAAATATAAACAGCTTATCTTATCTTGAAGCTTAATTTTAAGACGGTAATTTAGTTACACTTGACCTTATTGGGTAACTAACTTCACTTGAGTCACAATTATACTTTAGTGTAGTGAATACCTAATTTGTAATTTAGTTTCTTCTATTATATCTTAGCTCACACTAGTGCACTAATTAACCTTAGAAAAAACTTTTACATAGACTAATGTATATTTGTAATAATCAAAATTGTGATTGTAGAATTAATCTCCTCGGTTACCACTAGGTAAATCCTAGTTGATTCTTTATCCCTTGAACTTCTGTGTTTGTATTAGGATATTTAGTGGAAATCCGTTTTATATATTCCTTTGACATATTCTAATAGCTTTAGAGAGTTCATTATAAGCTTATCAGATCCTGAGATGAGTAGAGAATTGTTCTAATTTAATACTTCCCATAAAATCCATAAAGTTTATTTTACTTTTCTTTTCAAGATATTATGATGTGCTATTTAATTTTCAAATTTTATGTACATAATATACCATTTTTTAAATGACATAATTCACCTTAAAATGAAAAATGTTTACCTATGAAATTTCTTAGAATTCTAACGAAAAATATGAAATATTTTTCATAAACTCAAATAAGCATGTACTACACTAATTATTTACGTGCAAATCACCAAGCTCGTAGATTTTGTATCACTAAAACTCAAAATGAAACAGCACATCCTTAATCAAAAGAAATCAATATTATTTATTCTATAATATAGATGCTATGAAACACACTCCTTTTAACATTCCATATTAAGTTAAGATTGTAAATTCTATGTTAATATGTAGTTAGAATTATAATTTTTTTCCTAATTAGTTATTATGTGTGCAACAAAGGAATTACACACTACTATATATAACCATTTATAATAGGATGGAAATATCTTACTATAGGTGTGACATTTTTACTCTTTAGAAGGCATTATAAGTTGTGCATTTTCTTTTAGGTTAGTAATTTCATGCCCATAGAAGGTATATTTTCTATTAGACAGCGAGATTTATATATTAGGTATTTAAAAAAAATATGCATCATTCCCTTCAATTGGTAATATTAAATTTTGTATGAAGTAATTATATAATTATATTATAAAATATGTAATTTTAACTTAAAAATAATTAATATAAAGATTAGGTGATGTACCTTATAGTGGAAACAAAGGGTAAAATTTGAACCAATCAATAAAAGAGTAAATGACCCTAAATATCATATGCAAGATACAAGGGAAAGATAAAATAGCATCATGGTAGATAAACTACATAAGGAGTTTAGAAGATAAAGTTTACATAAGAGTAGCCAGATTCTTAAATCACAGTTAAATTTAAAATCCCACAGTAAGTGGCATAACAACAACTTGATTACCATATAGCTTTCATGAGATAGAATCCTAGTGTAGCCACAAACTTTAGAGTTATTGTAATTAGTGTGTATTGCAAATCTAATAGAACTAACAAGATTACCATATGATTGTCATTGAATTTGCTGAAGTTGCTATAGAATCCTAGTGTAGCCACAAACTTTCATATTTTCTTAGCTACAATACGCTTGGAATGTTTTGCAATGATAAGTTTTTCATTATTTTCTATAAGTACATACATGACAAGCCAAGCTAAGGAAAACTTGCTTGACGCTAGTTCACCTGCTTTCAACTAAAAGAAGACCAATTATTAACACCACCATGCATCAAATCCTCAAATGTCATAAGATTCAAAAGGAGATGGGCAGAGCACCACCGTCGATACAAAATTCTCTCTCTAAAAAACAAAGGAGAGGCAACAAACATTCTCTTAGGGATGGGAGCCAAGGAATATTTCGGCCCAACATAATTGATTGGACACCCCTTCATTGCAATATTTAATAGTGACAAAGGCTGCATTACCTTACTTAAGAATTAAATGTGACGACGTGCTTGGCATTTAGACGGGAGAGGATCCGAATGCTCACTGTTAATCAAGGAAATTATGACGTGCAAAGTTTGTTTGGTTGCAGTTTGAGTTGGGGGAGAAATGATACTCTCTACTTTTATAGTTTTAATACCAAAGTGTAACACTTGTGTGATAATATTTATAAAATTATTCACAAATATAATATAATATATATA